AATACAAGATAATAATTCTTATAGTCTATATTTATATCTAATAATTGACATATACCTACTCATATATTTTTTTTTTTTTATTAATATATAGAAGATTATAAAGTTATTTCAGATGGAAAGAGACATCGTATGTTTTGATCATAATATAGTAGCTCTTAGTATAATATTTAATGGTTTCTTATAGTATAAATATTTTAAAAGGTTTTTCTAATATAATTTTTGTAATATTATTGTATTGCCTCACTTTTAGTTTGGAACATTAGATTTACACTTTTCCTTATATAAAGGTATTATGGATAATTTTGAAGATACTGGTAATATATATGCTAAGGAATGTAAATTTATTCAAGAAAATACCGAAAAACATGACAATGATCTAATATATATAAATGATATATGTATTAAATGGTATCCATATTTAAATCAAATACGTTATTATAATGAGCAAGAAATTCTAAAAGGATTACAATACATGTATTATTGGTTATATAGGAATTACCTAAGTCATGGTATAAAAGAGGAAAACATTAATAGACTTTATAAGAAATTAATCAAAAGATATAGTGAAACTAGTTTTGCCCAGAAAATTGATAAACCAGTTTTGTCGGATGATCTAAACAGACAAGAATGGAAAACACTCATCGGTATAATTAACTTAAGTATAGCACTTAATGAAATAAAAGTATTTTCATTTGAATCTTCTAAGAAGCAAAGCTATTGTGATTATTTAAATGGGTGTGTCAGTATGTGTAAGCATTACATTGGTGAATGTACACGTAGTGCTAGCCCCAATATCTGTGATATATTTGAAAATATTGAAAATCAGATTAATGACATAATATTAGAAAATGGATGTAATGATAGTAATCATCAAATATCGCCTTCAACCAATTCTCAAAATGAACCTCTCGATTCATCCAGTAATATCAAGTCACGTACTATTATAATTTCAGCAGTTTTAATATTATTAACACCCATGTTGGTATTTATTCTATATAAGGTTAATTATGATGTTATTATATGTATTTGTATAATAAATTGACTTTTAAAATGCTTAAAAAAATAAGTAAAAATTATTATTCTATATAAAAATAATATACATTTAATGCATAGTTTTTTTTTCTTATTACGAATTAGTTCAAACTATGTAATTCATACTTGCTACATAGAATAAAGAAGAAAATAAATAGGTGGAAGAAGGATGATAAAGAATGGAATATACAGCAACATTCTGAAATGTCCAACAGTATATCATCGCACAGCATGTATAATATATTGTATAATTCTACTTAAATCTAGTATTATATATGTAATTCGAATAAAATATTCCCCAAAATATCATTCAGAGTGATATTAGTAAACGATACGGAGATATATTCTATTAATTATGTCACAGAAAAAAAAAATATTATTAATGAAAAAATATATATTAATTTGTTAATATAAAAATATAATATTTCATATATTATTTTCTTTTATTAAAAATTGTTGAACCAAAAGGTATAAATGTGTAATGCATGTTTCTTCCTTTTAGGCAGCTTATCCTTCAAGAATTAATTATATATAAATAGAATTTTGTATTATATAAATAAAAAAATAAATATTATATATCCATATATAATATAACGTATACAAATAATTGCTGTACCAATAATAGAATATATTTGATATAAATAAATTTTTCATATTTTATAAATTTCATAATGTAATATTGTTGGGAAGAGCTACCAAATTATAGAATACATATTGAAATTTTTTATTTTAATTTATTATTGTTTTTAATATATATTATGTTATTCCTTAATGCTAAGCATTTTTCTTATCATCAAAATTATAATATTATTATGTCGAATTTTAATTATATCAATTTTTTTTTAGTTTATTGTCTAACTTAAATTACAATGTATCAATTATTGCTTACATATAATTATTTAGATAATTTTACCATTTAAAATCTAATTTAGCTTCTAATTTATGTGATTATGCAAAAATATATGTTATTAATACACATATAATATTGTTATTAATTGCTTTATATAAGTATATGCACTTAAAAAAATTATAAGAATACATAAATTTTAAAATTTCTTATATATATTTCGTTCAAATGTTTATGTATATAAGAACATTAATCTACATAATCACATTTGAGTGTACTATTTGTTTCTTAGAACTTTGTATTCACATATTTATCATTAAAATAAAATAAATAATAAGAATATAAAGAATTACATTTAAAATTTAAATACATTACAAATTTCATTATGATAAAAACTAAAATCAAAAATTTAAACGAATATAGATTTATATTATTTACATAATTTGAAATAATTAATTATATAAAAGTATTTGCCTATTTATAAAATATTTATTAAAATATGTTACGTGCATGTTATTACAAAATAATGAAAATCCTACAGAGAAGCATCAGTGGGATGATGAAATACATGTATAGAGAATAATATTATATATATTTTTTTTTTTTTTCTCTAACTCATATCTATATACAAGAATTTCTTTTAATCCTATATTATTTACGTTATGTATATGTGAAAGAATGTTAGTAGAATATATATGTATATTTTATACATTTATATCCATTCTAATTATTTATGACAGAGTAATATATTATAATAATTTAACCCTCATTTGTGTTAATATATCCTAATTCAATGAAATTAGAACAAACACATATATTTTTAGTATAATTAAGAAAGAATAACTTTTATTCTATTTAATGTTATTATAAATATTATATATTGTAATAGAGTTGTTGCATACACATATGTTCTCCTTATATTTATTTTTCCCATACAAATAGATGTGTTCTATGGATCTAATAAATCAAAATTTTAAATTATTATAACATTTAAATATGAAATTTTATTAATATATATATAATATATATAATAATTATTTAGAATATATGCGTTTGAATTATAATATATAATTTGTTTATATTTCCTTTATATTATTCATTTATTTAACACATATTTGTAATATTTTCTGTTTTACATAGACATTATAATGTATTTTATTGAATAATAAATCATATTATTATATGGTTAAATATAAATTTTCCTTAAAAAACATATGTAAATGTTATGATTCTCTTTAAGATATTATAGGCAAAAAAACATCCATAATTCAGAAATAAATTGAAATATATATAGATATGAGAAAAAATATTATTAGATAATAAATATATACAGCTATAAGGAAGTCTGTATGTACTAATAAAAGAAGTAAAATTTTATAAATGATTATTGGAAAATGTGTTGAAATAGCTATAAAATATTTAAAAAATCTTGATATTAACTTTTCTATTTAAAACATTATATTTATACTTAAAATAAAAATATTATATTTTACATTTATTTATATTACTATTATCAATAATGTAAGACTAATGTATTAAATATGAAACGTTTTTTATGTAACATTTTAATTTTCAATGCTAAAATTACACATTATATTGTATTATTTTACATGGTAAAATGGTTCTTTTCGATTATATATTTTTTAGTTTATTATTCTGTTACATCATTATTGAACAAATTATTTATGTTAAAACATCTTTTTATGTGTAATGCTCAAGTTGATTGTGATATATTATCCCATCTATATGTATTATAGTGGTACAAAGTATACATTACTAATAAATATTACAAAAAAAATTATATACAGTATTAGAACATTCCTATTCATTTTTATAAACAATAATTTTTGTAATAATAGTTATATTTTGATATAAACAGTATAATTTTAAGGTTAACATTTAATGAGTATAATGATAAGGCACTATTATTAAAAAATTTTCACGGAATATTCTTATATATAAACATAATATCATTATTTAAATATATATATGATTTTTTTTATTTAATACTGTTATATAGAATATCGTAAATATTCATTTTTTCCTAAATTTAGTATATATATTCTATTTAATTTTTTCAATAATACCATACGTCTACAGAGAAAAATTATATAAATATAACAGTAAAAATTTCTAAGCTCCAATAATATTATTTAATAAAATACTTATTATATATTCCTGTATAATTAAAATTATATATCATCTAATAAATTCTTATATTGAAGACACACAGGGGGTGGTATTTCTCAACATAATTATTCAAATTAATAATTTATTTAAACCTGTACTTAATATATGCTACCAGGTTGTGATATACAAAGAACTATTCTACAAAACCTTTAATTTATATCGTATATATATTTATTTCATTATGTTATCGGAAATAAAATAAAATTCTATTCATGAAAAATTCAAATTTTAATAAATTTAATTAACTTATTTAGTATCATTTTTCATATATTTATATATTTATTTATAGTATATAATAATTATTGACTTATTTTTATGTATTACTATTTTCTTGTTCATAAGAACACATAAAATTGATTCTATTTATATAGAATAATTTTGAAATTTACATGTTATCTATCCCTATAAATTATACAATAAGTACGATTTCATTTTATTTTATAATAATTTTAGATATTTTCATTGAAATATTCAATATATGCATTTCAGTGTATACTAAGAAAATAAAGCTTTTTAATCATACTATTATTCTGGAAAAAAACGGTGTTTTATTCATTATATAATAAAAAATGATCGTTATCCTTTTTTATAATATTTTTTATACTACATTACACTTTTCATCAATTATATTTTTATATTGTCTGTCTAATAAATTTATTGACTTCTCATTACCTTAATTTTTTTTGTTAAACAAATTTCTTAACTTCATTATACTTGGTTGTGAAAATAAGACGAAACCTGTATACTTTTAATAAATAAAAAATTGCAATACATTTATCAAGAGATAATTAAATTCTTGCAATTGTTTTGAAACCATATTTAATATAAATTATAGCAAGATATAAATTTAATATTTTGAATTTATTTTTAACCTTATACAAAATGAATATAATTTTTAATATAATAAATTCTAAAAAAGCCATGCCTTTGATATCCCTATAACTGAATCATTCCCTGCCATTATTTAATTCACTGCAGATATACCTGAATTTATTTTATTGTGACACCCAGTGGGGTGTTATATGCCTTTTGAATTCACTATTAGAGGGCACATTCTATTATATTCTGTTTTAACAAGTTTTCGAATATAATTAATATTATTTATTGAATCATACATATATATCATTAAATTATGTATATTTTCATTCGCACTATATAAAATTATTGTTCTAGAATCTATATACTCTACATTTTAGGATATAAAAATATTTTATATTTGATGCAAAATTTTAAATATTTTCAATACTTTATTATCATTTTAACAAAAGTATATATCAAAATTATTATGAATATGTGAAGATACTTTTTGAATGAATTTTATTTTCATTTACTTGTAAAAATCAACTACATCAATACATTTAAGATATCTATTCTTTTTTTCGGGGATCAGCTTATAATTTAAGTATTTACACCTGTTTTCTAATTTTTCCCCGTGCTTATTACATAATGAATTCAAATTCATACCATAATATACACAATCCAGATGATATGATGTCTATTTATATCCTTTTACTTCATAACCAAATTTTTGGCATGTCTCAGACAACCAACATGGAACACTCTGAATTGGCATGTAACTTGTTTCATTATAATTCTCATAATATATAAGGGAAAAATAATAAAAATAAACTCAATATTGAAGATAATAGTTTATAAAAATATTTAAGTTAAACTTAATAGGAAAGTGTTTTCCTTTCATTAGCGGAATGTTATATACTTCAAAATGATTCATATAAAATATATATTTTAGTAAGGCTTATCAATGTACCAACGAACTAACATATTCCGTATTATTAAACCTATTTTATATAAGAATTATTAGAAACAATTTTTTTCACTTTTATTATGATATAAGTATTATATGTTAAAAATATCTAAATAAGTATTATATTTATATTATATGTATTAATTAAAAAAGTTTTATAAGTGTTAATTAATATTTTACTCTGTATATTTTTAATAAAACATACATATACGCCAAAAATTAAGAGTCCTCTTTTCCAAGGATAATACATATATTTTTTCCTATAAATACACAATATTTAGAATATGCTTATAGCGAACAAATCACACAAAAATAATAACTAATTAACCGTAAATTATTTGTACATTTATATATAGACAATTACTATTATAAAAGATAACCACATAAGTAAATAAATAAATATACACTCAAATAAATATTAATTTTGTATTAGAATATTTATTTATATATATATGTTATCATTTCAAATTTTTACATAATTATACATAACATTATATGTACAACATTAAATTTTATTTTTATACTTGTGTAATTTGCTTATCGTTATATAAAATATACTAGCGTCTAATAGTAATGATTCATTTTAATTAACATAAATGGTGATTAAAGCGAAAATATATTATATACTGATGATTTAATTTTAGATGTTCATATGATAAATATAATTTAATATTAATGTTTTGCATATATTCTTATATTCACTGCATTAAATTATAAATATATAACACGCTCTATTTATGTAATACTTTATGCATACACGTTTATATAGAGATAACACCATTACTGCATAATTTCGTATGTAATATATAACATATAAATTTTTTATATTTTTCATTTCATATCATTAATATAAAATAATTTACCTTAATCAATAATACATGTATTTTCTAAAGTTATAATGATTCAAATAATAAAAATAATAAGCATTGTATTATAACGAATATATTTGCTTTGTTTACATTTTATTATTCATTATATAACTTCATTTTATTCCTTACGATTATTTTATTAATTACTTAAAACTATGTCTTTTGATTATTACATATAAGATAGCATTATTATATTTCACAAAATAGGTTTTATAAGTATATATAATGTATTGTATTTCAGTATATCTATTATATCTATTTAAATAAAATATTTAATAATTTTCATGGAATATTTATAAATAGTTGATTTATTGTAATATATAATAGATATGTTGTATACTTTATTTTTCAAAAAACTTATGAAAATATTTTTCTAATTATCTTAAATCAAAAAAACATTACGGGTTTTTTTTTTGTAATTTTTTCAGTAGATGAAAAAAATTTTACCTTCTAGAAATAATATTTCCATCATTCTATAGAGAATATAATAAATCCTATTATTTTTTTACTTAGAACAAAAGAAATTGAATTAATATTAATTTACTTTATACATTCCTTAAGAGTCTAGTACTGAGTTATATGATATTTTAGGCCTTTTATTTATAAATTCATCACAAGTAGGTTCAGGGGGAAGCTTTATTTTGAAATTATCATTACTTTCTTTGTTACACCGTTTCTTCAACTTCCTTCTTATTTGTATCAAATATGAGCCACATGGGGCATACTAATAATAAAGAATAAATATAACATTTTTATTATTACATTATTGTTTGTTTTTAATTTTCATAATAATATTTAATACAAAATTTAATAAAGTGTATTAATGAATAATTGAATTTATTTTATACCTTATACATAAAAAATGCAATTAATGATATTGTTAATGTTATAATAAGAGAAATTAAATAAAATTTGTTTATATTTACACCATAATAAGAATATAAGATTTGGGGAACGCGCTCACATGTATTCTTATTTTTCATATATTCATTATACTCACCTTGAAAATTTTGTAAAAATTTACACAAACTATGATTATTCGATCTATGACATATTTCTAAGAGGCTCTTATATGTATTAAAACATTTAATGCCAAGAGAACATTGAGAATTTTCTGTTTTAAAATTATCAAAATATATATATATATCATTCAGTTTGTCCAATACGTAAAATGTAAGATCATCAAGATTAACAACATGCTGTTTGCATATTTCAGGCACCTTAATGCTTGTATTATTTGAGTCCGTTACACTAATCATTTTAAGATAACACTCTTTTTCACCATTACAAGATATTTTATATTTTTCAATTTCATTTTTTAACATGTAGTTGAAATAAATACAGCTTTGTGTTTTTTCGGAGTCATCTGACTTATATTTTATAGATTCTAAATACTGACTAAGAACCATACATGTATATAAAAAATTGTTATCATTAGGTTGTAATATATTTTTTACATCAGTAAAACACACATTATAGTATGTATTATTAAAATAATTTTTATCGATTATCCCTTTAGACGCATTAAATTCCTTTATACACTTGGGAAATATACCTATAATATCAATCTATAAATTAATATAAATATGCAAACAATAATTTAAAATAAATATTTTTAAATTTTTTTTTTTCATTTTCACAGATATTATATTGCCATACTTATTAATAAATATTATAATTGTGATGACGATTGGAAACAAACATTTAGATTCATGGCTTGATTGATATACACTATAATTATGTGAATTCATATAAAAAGACTTAGAAAGATGTTCCTTCTGAGTGAATGTTGTGCTAATATGACTAACAAGCGTAACATATAGTCTATAATGTAATATTTCTATGTATCTCATAAAAAAATATAAATTATAATTGAACATTGGATTTGAAAAAAATTTTAAAAAAGCAAAAATTTAATTATAATTACCGCATATATTACATATATATATTAAAATTCTTTATAAACAGAAGCAAACTTCAATGGAAACAAAAAAACGTAGAATTATAATGTTAATTTTATTTTAAATATTAACTCGATATAGTTATTTAATTAAATTAATTTTGTGTTTCTTAATATTTTAATACGTTAAATTAATCTATAGGATTTATTACTAGTTTCAGTTATTAGTTTTAGTCTAATATAGAGTACATACATAATTCTTTACTTTTCTTTTTTTTTCAGTTTTGTCTTTGCGATGTATATTTATCGCTAATTATTCATTAATATATAATAAAAAATATTCATTCATTACATTGTTTTATTTTAGTATATTTTATATTTCCTATGTTGATTACACAGTATAATTAATCATTTATTGTAATTAGCTATTAAACTTCGTAAGTGCTGCGGTGTCCGAATATGTTATATATAGTATATAATATTTTCAATAATATATATTGTTAGAAAATATTTATTTTATGAAATAGGTTTTCTAAAAAAAAATGTTAAGTCATTACTTGTTTAAATTTTAATATAAATATCTATATTACTATTTATATTTTTTTTATCTCATGATTCATTATTCATAATAATGTTCATAATTTAATGTTTGGAATTATACAATAAATAAATTATATAATAATATTTTTCTCGTATCATAATTTTTAGAAATTAATGAATTTAGTACTTTTAATCATTCTGCATTATTTGTATATGTACTCTACTTAAAATATTCTTACATATATATAATTGTTTTTTTTCACTGGAATACTAATTATATTAAATAAATAATTATATAATATTATAAAAAACGTACAACGAATGTACAATTAAATAATGCACACTACATATATATACGTATTTACATAATATTTATTCCACTATTATTAAACATATAATATTCATATTTAGTAATGTATTGTAATACATAACATTGCATAATACTTTTTTAATATATGGTTTTAAATTTATAATATTGAATATAATTCGCATAATAAATTTACATAAATATGCATATATGCCACTCATTAAATCATAATATATAATCATGAATTATTTTACATTCATGTGAATATAATTTTTTTAGATAGGTAATTTTTTATTACCAAATGAATATATATATATATTTAGTATTTATGCAAACATAATAAATTCAGTAATAAATGTGAATTGCGATATATCCTCATAAAAAAATATAAATAGAATGAATATGTACTACATGTAAAATATACGATGTATATAAGTATTATAAGATGATGTGGGAATAAAAAATTATATGGTGCTCTTCATATATAAATACTCTGAAATACATGAGAAACTAATATAATACATATTAAAACTATGGAATATTATCTATTCATATGTTACTTTATTATATTGATAACACAATAAAATATAAAATATAATGTTCATCTTGCATAATGTACATTAGATGATTATAAATTTTATGATAAAATGACCTGTCATAATTTGGGCGAAAAAGCTATTCTTCTAATCCTTAATAAATTAGAACAAACTTAATTTGTAATATACATATAAGTATAAATAACATTAGATATACATATATATAACAGTGTATAATACTGCATATAAAAAGTATTATAATATAAATATTAAATTAAAAAATTATAGTGTATAATTCATATATATTAGAAGTGCGAATTATAACAAAAGTACGAATGGGAATCGTTTTAAAATATTTAAAATGTCATGTAAATATGAATAAACCACAAACAGATAAAAACAATGTATAAAGATATATATATAATTGATATATATGTACTCAACGTTAACCAATAAATCTTTAAATATATACCTTCAAATACAAGCACTAGCCCATGGAGCATAAATATACTTCCTAATATATGGGTCAATCATAATTAAGAACTTGATGAACGTACATTTAATATATTTCACTATATGGCTTCAATATATAAACATCTTAGTTTTTGTAAGAAAAGATATTAAACATTCTCTAAATATAGTAGTGCTTTTAATGGATATATAAAACAATTGTAATCACATGGATATAAAAATGTCGCAGAGTTAAAAAAGTTCATGAGACATCATATTAATAAGTATTCCTAAAACTAATAATTTTAAAATTAAACAATAGTGCTCTAGGGAAGTAACAGTCACAGGAACAAAAACATGTCAAATAAGAAGTATAGGCACAAAATTGTTCTAACATTTGCAACATTACTAATTAAATTATTTTTATATATGACTAAAATGGAATTAAATTTATTAAGTGCATTCCAATGTAACTCATTTTGCACATTATTATGAAAAAAATTAATATCAAATATATCTCATATTGATAAAAATGTTCACGCTGAATCTTTATTGTGAGTGTACCAGTTATTGATCTTTTTTTCTACCAAATCGAAGTTAAATATAATAAATAATAAAAATGAAAAAGACCATCTCAAATTTATGGATTAATTTGGCAGAACATAGCATGCTTTATATGATGTGAGGCATAGAATATTGTATATCTTAGTAGAATAAATAATCATAGGATCATAATGAATGAAATAAGAATAAAATATATTAATAAATAAAAGAAAATTATGAAAGTAATTATTTTTAACAAAAAAATAAATAAATAAAATAATAAAAATTAATTATATATTGAATAATAATATATAAAGTAAATAATAAAATTCGTTATACATTAATGTGAATATTTTATGGCAATTATCATATATATATGATTTCTTTCAGAATTTTATTATTTTGTGTAATAAATAAAAATATAATATAGTATTAAAAAGTTCACATATGTAATATGTATAGCTGAAATTTTTTTTTCTTTTTTATGCGTTTATATATATATATATATATTATAAAAATAATACAATATGGATAATTGTAATATGAAGTTATCATTATAAAAGTATGAATAAAATATATATTCACGAATATTATTTTTTGAAGAATAATTATACATTCATTAAATTTAAATATTCATTAACGCTATATTATTCATGCTTAAATTTTGATGGTTTTTTTACTATTCTTAAATTTTTTTTTATAATATTTCATTAGGTATCTATGGAATTTTGCATAATAACAAAGTAATTACTGAAGTAAATTTTTTTATGTATCCTATATTATAAACCAGCATATAACATAAGTATTTGTATTTATACCCAGCTTTCCATAGAAATAAATTAATATAAAAAAATATATTAAATAAAAGTAATTGATCACATAAATATATTTTGCATTTGATTTCCTATTGTGAATAACTAATGTACTGAATAGTATTGAGTATTACAATACATAATTCTAGTACTTATTAATTAGCATATTAATGTAATTTGTATATCATATTATATATTTTTATGAAATAATGATTTCCATGTTCTGTTGAATTGCAATGCTATGTTTTAATATATAATAAAATTCAATCAATATTTTAAAAGATTTGTATATTTTATGAATCATAAAAACTAATTAATTTGATATCAATATAATATATATTTTAGAGAAATTTTTTATACATTTATCATAACTAATTAGGAAAATCTAAACTCTTTAAAATAATATACTTATGTAGAAAATAATGCGTACAATTACACGTGTAAACAATTATGTATGATCCAACTTCTTATTATGAGTGTAACATATATTAATTATTTTTAATGTAATATTGTTGTTAAAGAACAAGTAATTTAGGAATACTATGTAATATTATTTATAAATTATTTTATATTTTGTGTTCTTTATTTTTAGATCGATTTTAATCATATATTTCCAAAATTCACAAAATAAATAAATTGGCAATTATATAATGATTTGTTCATGAGACTCACCAATTACAAACTTATGCATTTTTTTTTATAAATAAGAAGGATAAATATAAAACTTGTAGATATTTTTTTTTCATTATGTCAAGTAATTAGTCTATGCTTAAATCATATGGAAAAAAGTAAAGTAAGATTTAATATAGAAGCATGATGTAAATACTTATATTACAAACTAAAGAAAAATATAATGAAAAAATTTAGTTTAATTGAAAAGCATGATAAATATTTCTATAATAAAATAACAGAAAATGGTATAGCAAATTTCAAAGGATATCCATTATATATATTTATTACATTATCGATGGTGCGTTATTAAAAATATTGGAAAATTTAGATGAATTATATTATTTTATTAATTTTTTTTAAAATGATATTTATTGATCTGCTTAAATAATGCAATTCTTTTAACAGTATAATAATTTTTTAGATCAATATACAAAAAAATATAAAAGGAATCATCATGAAGAAATAAAAAAAGTTTTCATATATATAAAAGTTTCAAGAATAGCTGTAAGGGTTCTAGAATTGATTCAGAAAACATACCTTATTTCATTACAAAATGAATACAAAGAAAAGCATTGAAAAACATAGAAAGAATCTAGATCACACAAAAAATTTTGAACGCAGATACAAATACAGGAAAAAATACGATAATGCTTTTTTTTTCTTTTGCACTTATAGTAGTATTAATAATTTTGTATAAAGTTAAAAATATCTTATGTCTGTTAAATGTATATTATATTATATTATAGTTTATATTATGCATAATAAAATAATATTTATAAAAATATATTAGATATACATAAATATAATAAGTACATACTTCATTTCTGCATAGAATTTATGCATCTATTTTAAAAACAGGTGCAAGTAAGGTAATAAGATGTTTAAATAAACAAGAGAAAAATCTCATCATAATCTAATAGATTCATTCGATAGTAAATATAATTATTCAAATAGTAATATGTATAGAATAGCATATGACTAAGAGGAATAACCCTAATAATAATATAATTTCATTAATTAAATTAAGGTTCCTTTTAAGATATAAAAAAAAAATTAAAACAAATTATTTTTATATGAATGAGAAAAAAATAAT